ACTGCAGAGCTGCTGGGAATGGGTGTGAGGAGCCGTGGGAGCTGCAGTGTGAACAGGGACTCCGGAGAGCACACACGGGTACCTCACTTGGGTATGTCAAAAGTGTGACAGCTGTGCCGTCCCTCCTTGGTGTTTTTATTTAAATTGAACTGGAACTGTAGGGTGTGTAGACTTTTGCTTTTTCCAGTGTCAGCAGGTGGAACACAGTATATTCTTCCCAGGAGCCCGTGCAAGCATTTTTTCCTTAATCTTTGTCTTGCTGTGTTTAAGTTTGCATCTGCTGGATTCTGCTTTGAGTTTCAAGTTCAAAGGCATCCAGATAGTCCTTTTGAAATATCACAGAAACCACTGAGTTTCACCTGGGTTTGCAAGGAAATCTTGTCAAACCACGAGTTTCCCACACTTCCAGTGTGAAACCTTGTGCTAACTGAAAGATTTTTTTTCTCCCAGCTTAGATTAGAGTTAGCTTAACTCTGAAGGGTGATGACCCATGAACTTCTTCATGAACCTTTGCCTGCTTTTAAGTTTGTAACAAAATTCAGAATTCTTTTGATTTTGGGGGTTTGTAACGAAACCAAAGGATAGCTGCAGTCAAAGTTGTCTTAGAGTTGGTGGGTTTAGCGCTGGGTGCAGCCTCTGAGTGGAGCATGGTAAGTGTGCCAGGTGTGCTCAGTTCTGGCAGAGCTGTCCCTGGGACTGCAGGATGTGTGGGGAACAGTGTGTCCATGGAGCAGGGCTGCCCTGGGCTGGGGGCTGCAGGATGTGTGGGAACAGTGTGTCCATGGAGCAGGGCTGCCCTGGGCTGGGGGCTGCAGGGTGCCTGGGAACAGCATGTCCATGGAGCAGGGCTGCCCTGGGCTGGGGCTGCAGGGTGCCTGGGAACAGCGTGTCCATGGAGCAGGGCTGTCCTGGGCTGGGGCTGCAGGGACCTGGGAACAGTGTGTCCGTGGAGCAGGGCTGCCCTGGGCTGTCAGACACCGCCGGGCTCCGCAGGCACGGGGCCTGCACCAGCACCGTCTGGAGTGGGAACAGCATCCCACGTGTGCCTGTCCCGGGCAGGGATCCTCCTCCTCTCCTGTTGTACCACAGCTCTTGGTGACCCAGACAAAGCCCCTTGCACTGGCTGTGTCTCTCAGTTTTCCATAGGAGAAGGGTCAGTGTGTAGCTTGGAAAGGTCTCACAGCTAAAAGCAGAGGGTTACTGGCAAATGCCCCACAGTCCGATGTAAACTGTAGGCTAACTTCTCTTTTCTGAGAACGTTTTACCCTGCTCTCTCTGGAGCCTCAGAGTAGTTTTCTTTCAACAGTCAGGCTCACAGGCTTTCTTCAAAGAGATAAAGTTTCAAAATAAGCTTCTTCGGACTGTTTTCCCAGGTGGCTGGTTCACCTGCCACCTGCATGCTGCCAAGGGTTTCCTAACTTTGGCTTTTGAGGGCCAGCCCTTTGTCCCCATTCGGTTGCCTGTTTGTGACCTGGTTCATTGAATATCAGATAGCAGCATCACACTGGAGCAGAGTCTTCGTAGGAACAGAAGGAACAGAAATGCTTCAGCCTAATATCTTCTAGCCTCAGTGTACCCGTGTAATGCCTGTGTTTTCAGCATGCCTATGTCATTATTCCTTACCTGTTTTGTTGGGTTTCATTCCTGTATTACAGGTCCCTCAAAGTCAGAGCTGCATTAAAATTAACAGTGATTATTTTCTTTCATTATATAAGTCCAGGATGGTTTGGGGTTTTTTACACCTATCACCCTTTTCAAATATATCATTAGCTCAGTGGCTTTGATTATTTTGTGTCATTAAGGAAACTGCAAGCAAAATCCCCTCAGCCATATTTTATTTATAGGAGGGTGACAAAAGCATAGTTTTTTGAGGTTAGAAAGGTTTTCGGTTTTGTTTTTTAGGTGGTTTGTTTTTTATCTTTTCCCTCAGGAAACAGTGTAAAATTATCTGAATCTCTAAGCCTGTAATTTGGCAGGTACCTAAATCTTTAATGAATAGCATGTGCTTTGCAGTTTTTTCTAAAGATTTGCATATTTGCTTCTTATGATCCATCAGTTGCTAATACTTCTATGAGGAGGCTGGTGGGCACACAATTAAAAGAGAAAAAGATTGTGCTTATTAATTCTTGGTGCTATTTGCTTTTATCAGCTGTGGTATTACTTTATTCTGCTTTAGCTGTCCCTAGCTTATTGGACATAAGAGTTAAATTGGAGTGAGAAGTCATCTGCTGCGATGGAAGTGTGGGCTCCATTCTTTAAGTGTTCCTTTGCTGGTTCTGTTGCAAGTGCTTTTAAAGCTGTGCTGAAGACTGTGAGGTTCGTGGAGCTGTAATAGAAAACATTGGTGTCTGGACTTTCAAGGGAAGAATGTGGTTAAGATTACAGTGCCTGAGTCACTGTCAATGGGTGGTCTTGAGTCCATATGGCTCCCAGTAGACGGGCACAGCAGAGTCTCTGCTCGGATGGGCCATGAGCTGCACTCGCTGAAGGGAGAGGATTGGAAAGGGCCACCCTCGACTGTGTTTTGCCTGCACGGTGGTAAAACGCTCTCAGGTGGCTTCTCGGTGCAGCTTGGTTTTAACTTTGCTACAAACAAGGTAAAGGGTTTGCTGAGAGGCTCGCTGGCTGCAGAGCCGGTGCTCCCTTTGGCTCCTGGGGTGACTGCTTTTCACTCGGGGCGTCCCCATTGTTGCGCTGGGCTTTAATGAGGCAGTCACAAAATGTCTGCCTCACTGCGACCGCCATTTTGTGGCCTGATTGTTGGATAATGAAGACTGTGAGAAACAGAAAATAAACAACGTGGCACGGAGGGGCTTTCAAAAGGAGCACCAAATCTGCATGTTTTATTTAGACACTTAATTGTTGCCGACTGGCTGCGTTTAAACAAGCGACTTTACAGTGTCTGGAAGAAAACCAGCTCCCGAATTTGAGGAGCTGACCTTGGGTAGATGCCATCAACTGTTCTTTTCTGTTGGCACGAATGTGCTGCTGGCAGTGTCTCCCTGTAGCTGCAGTCACTCACCCAGCTCTCAATCAGAACCTGCTTCCACTGTACTGGGCCACCAAATCATGCTGTTGTTGTGGTTTAACCCCGACCGGCAGCTCAGCCCCTCACAGCTGCCCGCTCCCTCCCCTGCCACGGGACGGGGACAGAACCGGAAAGGTAAAAGGAAGAAAACCCGTGGGTTGTGATTAAAATCAGTTTAATAGGGAAAGGAAAGGCTGTGCACAAGCAAAGCCAGACAGGACAGTCATCCCCCCCTTCCCATGGCAGGCGGGTGCTCAGCCACCCCAGGAAAGCCGGGCTCCACCACGGTCACGGTGACTTGGGAAGATGAACACCATCACTCCAACATCTCCCCTTCCTCCTTCTCCCCCAGCTCTATGTGCTGAGCATCACCCCACGTGGTCTGGGATGTCCCTGTGGCCAGCTGGGATCAGCTGTCCTGTCTCTCCCCTCCCAAGTCCTTGTGCCCCCCAGCCCCTCTCTGGTGGGGTGGGTGGGGAGCAGAAAAGGCCTTGGCTTTGTGCAGGCCCTGCTCAGCAAGAACTAAAAGATCCCTGTGTTACCAGCACTGATCCAGCACAAACCCAAAGCACGGCCCCTACAGCTACTGGGAAGAAATGTAACTCTACCCCAGCCCAGCCCTTTATTCCAAATATTATTTGCAGCCCCTTTGATAACCAAGATTTGATAAAAAATATATAGGATATTTAAAAATAAGAACCTTCAAAAAAGCTATAATTAAGGTTCTTTAATGGAGCAACACATAATGTTCTTTGGAAATAAAGGAGAGAGGCTACAAATTCGCTGAAAGCAAACTAAAAATGTGTGATGGGAATTGAAGGGACACAATGGAGTTGTTCCTGTGGTCCTAGGGATGTAGTACTCACCATGTGAGGAGTGAAGTTAGAGGTATTTACTTGGTTCTTTTATGAAATTATCTGGTTTGTGTATGTAGTAACATGAGGAAGGGTGCCTTACATTCACAGTAGGGTGCAGCTTCAAGGCTGTTTAAAATTCTGCCATATCTTAATGATAATAGTTAATCCCAGTATCAGAACAGTACTTCTATTTTTAAAATGCAATCAATCAATCATTTTAATACATTGCACCCTTAGTGCCAAACACCTCAGAAAACGGTGTGTTTGGCAGTAAAAATAAAGCATCTGAAACTCCTTCTGTAGAGTCATTCTTCCTTTCTTTCTCACCCATGTAAGTACAGTAAAAGCTTAAAGCTGCAAGAAATATCTGGAATTACATAACAAGGAGTATATCCTCCAAACAAGACCAATTGCCAGGTAGGGGTTGCTGTCATGGACTGAGCAAGGTGGGACACAGAAATTGCCCCACTTAACTAAAGTTCTGTCTAAAAATACTGCACGTGCTGTTTGTTCTTGGGTGTGATTTTGGCTTTTGAGGTGGTAGTTGTGTACAGATGCTAGACTTCCTTTTAAGGGGATTACACTGGAAATTGGTTCTTTCTGTTTATTTCTTAGGACAGCTTCCCCTGCCTACCATGCTTTTTCAGAAAGCTGTTTATATCCCCTAGGGGTAATAGAAGTTGTACATAACTCAGGTTGGGTTTCTGCCTCTGCCACAGTGATTCACACAAAAGCACACTGTCTTGTACATCTGTTCTTCACCTGCAAAATAAGGATTAATGCTTCCTTAGCATTAGTGCTTATAAATTACTTTGAAGATCCTCCAATATGCTCCAAATATACCTGTCAATGTTGTTAGTGATAAAAAGGTGAACTGCATAACTCAGTCATGTTAACAGCATATTAACTGAGAGGGTTTTTAACACAACTTGAGTATAAAAGTATTGGCACCATATTCCAGCAAATAACCAGTACAGTAAAAGCATACCTTTATATTACCTCTATTTTCTCTTCCCTCTGGGTTTTCTCGTGAGTGGGCTTTTTCTTGGGTCACTTATTTTCTGAGACTGACCCTCAGTGGTTGTATTGATGAAAGGCTTTGCTTTTTTTTAAAGGATCAGCAAGAAACAGTGATGTTTTCAGTCATGAACATGGCAGGACCACCGCATTGGACCGAACTGCCCAACATCATCTCATGTGAGTTACTAGGTAGTTTCAAACATGCTTGTTTGCCCCAAGATAGATAGAGGGGGAAGGTCTGAAAGAGATTTTTGGTTTCAGTTGAACAGTAGTCTCCACAAATAGGTATTTATATGATAAAAAATAACTCAGTGCAAAGCAAGTTTAGTTGAGGTGAAATTGGAGCCAAAAGCGCAGATGATGTGGACACGGATCACAGGTTACAGAGTTAAGACATCTGGATTTCTAGTCAATTCTCTGAAGGTGTACCTAGAAGTTAATAACATTTGGTTTCCTCTTCCAGGAGAGCATTTTTTTACATGGTGTCTGAAATCCGGCTTCCTTGGGGGATTTAGAAGTGTTTTTCCATTAATTCAAAAGTTGAAAGTGCCTTCAAAGTACCAGGCAACTTATGATAGTCCTTCCCAGCCTTATGCATTCATAGCATTCATGGCTGTGTTTTTGTGATGTGTACGTGTAAGTGCATACTTCCTAGGGACAGCTGTTCCAGCAGACAGGATTCAAACAAGACATTTGTGTTAAGACTTCTTTAAATTATTTGCTGCTTTGATAAGCCATATCTTAGTCATTATCTGAAAGGATTTTTTTGAAGTAGCAGTCAGGAGGGCTTGTATTTTCTGTTTGTCTGCTCCCCTAGGTCTCTTCCCATTACGTGTTTCATTTTAACAGGCAGCAAGCATGTTCTGCTTCCTTGAGATGTCTGCATGGCCAACATCTGGAGAGCAGCCATGTGGGCCGTTCCACACGGAGTTTTTGGAAACACCATTTGCTGGTGGAACGGTCCGGAGCAGACACCTCTTTTGGCAGAACTTTATTGCCATCTATTTTTAGCTGAACTCTCAAACATCAGATTAGTGTGTGCGAGCCACCAGAGTGTGTCTTGCAGACAGGCACTCTGAGGAGAAAGGAAGACTTCTCTATGTGGTAGCTGAAGTGCTTGAGGTGAGTTGTATGCACGTACCTTCTGCAAACTGCCTTCAGCTCATTAGTGTGGTGTCACAAACTGGGTTCAGAGCTGACAAAGAAACTGGAAGGAACGTGGGACTTGCGCTGTCCCTTCTGTTACTGTCATGGCACATGGGACATATAATGAACTGGGGAGGACAATGCTGGCCAGGATCCTCTGTTCTGAAGTAGCAGGCACACTGTATTCCACCAGCAGAGCACACAGCTAACAATGCCTTCATTAATAACTCTCTTTTGGGATCTCTCAGCTGAGGTCTGCAGCTTTCCAAGAATTCCAAGAAGGGCTGTTGACTGTTGTTGTGCCCAAGGCCAGGGAAAGGCCTAGAGTTCCCCTAAACAGCAGGGCAGTGGAGTGCATGGGAAACTGTGTAGATTCCCTGCAGAATCCAGCCTCCATTTCTGTGCTTTCACTTTTTTCAGCAGTTCATGGAAGCAACTTGTTCTTAGTGATGTTGATGCCCATGTTTTTGTAAATTATTGCACATGTATGTGTCAGATAAACTTGTAAACATATAGAGGTTTAATTTACCATACTTAGATGGCACAAATGAAAGACTTCATAGGCCTCTTACTAAGGTCTGTGGTTAGTGTATGTTGAATTCATCCTACAGTGGCATATGTTGCTTGTTTGAGTGGTACAGGGCAGAGTGTCACAGTGCAGTATATCAAGTGTCTGATCCTTTTCTGAGCCTTTTCTGAAAAGGAGCTGTTGGATATAGAAAGAGCGTGGCACTCAGGAGACTTGAGTTGTGTTGGAATATTTGAAGGGCCATTTGTGCAAACTATATCGTATTTATACAACACAATTGTTTTAAGCTCCAAAACACATAAAGGACCTTCATGAAAAATCTCATTTTCTTTTGTGAAAATTCTTGAGGTTATTTTTTATTTGATTTTTGAAATTATTTTTAAGCAAGACTCTTCCTGTCTGAACATAGATTGCAAGTAGTTTGCAAGCAATTAGTTTGCCCAGTGTTTGGACCCTCCAAAGGCTATTACAGAGCAGCAGTGGGAATGTAAGTTAGTGCCAGGGCAGCTTTCATTCCTTTACCACAGTTCATGTTAAAGAGTCAGAAATATCAGCTTTTTAAACAGAATTGTAAAATATACTGCCTGTGTTTCCAGAAGTGAAAAGGCTTGCTAACATGCAGCATCACCTACGTTAGGCTTCTTGTGGTGATGACTTTTTACTTGGCTATTTTGTGTCTGATTGTTGCTTCTTCACATTACTTTACCAGAGTCATTCATTTAAAAGATCTCAGGGAGAAAACCTCAAACAAATGCCAGTACTTAAAGGTCATTATCATTGTTTCTCTGTGATATTATTAGGTCCCAGTTGTGATAACGTGGGTAGCTTGAGTAGATCTACTTAAGATCTAGTCTGGTGTTCTGCTGCAGCTATAAACCTCTAAAAATGAACATTGCATACTATCCCAGCCTTGCTGTCTCTGTGGATCACTTTGGGGTGACAGACCTTTCTGAAAGCACGTGTTATTAGAGAAGGTATAAATGAATTGCTTGTGTATTCCCACATGCCTTATTAAAGCAGCCCTATGTATTCTGTTCTCCTTTTTCTCTATGTATTGCTGTAAACTTAGTTTACTTACTTTATCAGTTCTCATGCAGTGTGGATAGCTGAAGTCATGACAATCCTGTTCATCCTTTCAACTCTAATACTCAGTAGTAGGTTATGTTTATGTTAGAAAGATCATAGTTTCTCTAACATTAATTACCAAGTAGGTGAGTGTTATAATTGTTATTCAGAGCCAGGATGATTCATTATTGATAGAAAGTGGTGTTCCTTTCTTAAAGGAATGGAGGCTGTTCATTTGGAATGTTCAGTGTTACTGTTGTCTTTCCAATGAAAGCGATTTGGAGTTTGGTTCCATTTCCACAATTAAGGATCATTCCAGCAAAAAATACTGGTGATCCACAGTGGGGCACTCTCAGTATCCAGCAAGATTTGGGAGTGTTCTGGGATTGTCATGCCTCCATGCATTGATGTTCTTAGTGGAAAAATTACTGTACTGTGGATTTGGTATGTCTCAGGTTATCATCCACATTTTATTTAACAGTGTGTGGCTTTTTTGGTTGTTCTTGTAAACATGCTTTCTATGTAGTGTTGATACTGCAAGACTTGGAAATCAGGAGACTTGTATATTAACATTTCCCCAGCACCATAAAAGATTGTGGAAAATGTGTGTTTGCCAACATAACTAGTATCCAAAAATGATGCGTGTGTAATGTATGGACAGGGAAATATTTAAATGTAGTAGGGGAAGTTAAAATTTTATATTTCTTAGGTGTTGTGCGTTTAAACATTCAACTTGCTGTATAAATTCTGGAATATTTTTGTTTGTTCTTTTTTCCTCCATGCTTGTGTAAGTATTTTACAGGCTCTGATATTCTGGCCACAATAGAGCAGACAGAATTACTTGATGTTGAGAACCTTGTTAATTTTATGGCCCATTTTCACATGGAGATCAGCTTTTATTTCCCCTCTCGCTCTTTATCCTTAATTCAATTGTTAGTAAGGTTTACTGAGCAAAAACACTGGATGTATTATGGGAAGAAATCTAATCAATGCAGCACCAAGGGACAGTCCTCCAGAGTCCTCCGTAGTGGCTGTGAGCCAGACTAGAGGTTACTACGAGGTTACTCTGTCTGACTTTCACCAAAATACCCCGTACTTGTGCAAAGGCTGTGGCCGCCCGGCCGCGTGTAACAGAAGCCTCATTTATACAGTTCCCAATATACAGATACACCTGTTCCACAGCCCCAGCACACAGCCCGGGTTTCCCCTTTTAAACACTTTGCATGTCTGTCTGCATTCCCTGCTGTCTGCAGTTGCTGTGCCGTGGCACTGCAGGGCAGCTCCAGGCAGCGCCCTCGGGGAATGCAGAGCTAAAGAAAGGGCTGGCAGATGTCAATGGACTTTGCCAAATGCTATTCTCCGAGTTAGATAGTTTGAAAGATTCATTGGCTAATCCAGACTTTGTGATACAAAAGTATCCTCGTTAGTCATGGCTTTAAGTGTGCATTTCTTTAATGCCTGCTCCTTTTTCAGGTGTTGATGCAGAGAATTGCACTGACGTATGTGTGGGAAATCTTTATTTGTTTGGCAAGACTGCTGCTCACCTTCCTCCCAAACCCCAGCCCTCCTGTCTGTAGCATTTAAGTCCTCTTAGAGCTTAACTCTTTGAAAGACACAGTACTTCCCTAGGGCTTTTGTCTGTTTTGGCTCTGAGTTCTAATAAATCATTTGGCAGTAAAAGATAAACCTTTCCCCTTTGATGAAATATTTGTTAAGCACTTTCTAGAATATAGGTTTACCTCAAGAGCTACATGTCTTCCTTGTTAAAGACAAGAAAAGGGTCAAACCCAATATCAGATACAACTGCTGACTCAGCACAGGAGCAAAACTTTGGCATACCCAGTGAGCTGTTATTTTGTGGTTACCCAGCTTGGTTTTCTGACCAGCACGTTGGGAATTGTGTGTCAGTACTTCTTCTAGGCCCTTGCCATATTTTGTGTAAAAGAGCAGTAAGTTCTCGCAAAAAGTCTGCTGTTCCCCCAGCAGTCCCAAGGTGCTGTGGTGTCCTGGGGCCCCACCCGGAGCCAGCAGCGGGTGTTACCTGCACACAGGTGTGTCCCAGGAGCAGCTCCGGGAGTGCTGTGGCTCCTGTTCCACTGGGAGTGCAGAGCAGTGTCTGTGGCAGCCACATCTGCGACTGCATTCACAGCCTTCCCAGTTGTTTTCACAAGGCACAACTGATAATGTCTGTGTTTTGGGTTTGTTTCTAAAGCTTTCCCATGGAAATTTTTGATAAGGTATGAATCCTAGCACCAGATATTGATGGCTAAGAGTAGGCAGCAGTTCTGCTGATGTGCTGCAGTCAGAAACTCTGGAGGAACTGAATTAGCTCTATTTCAGTTTCAGCACTTCTGTGTCTGCAGTGATGTTGTTCCTGCAGTACCACGTTGCAGCATTTGATTGTGAATTGTAGCCTGAGAAGTATGTGGCAGCTTCAATAAGTTAAACAAAACTTGGAGAAACACAGTCTCCTCAGTTAAAAATCCTAAGAACATAAGATTTAACAGTCTGGGCCAGACCAAGGGTCTGTCTGGCCTACTGTCTTGTTTTCAGCAGTGATTAGTAGTGTAGTTATGGAAAAAATACCAGTGGTAAGTGTATGGAATAAATAGGCAGAAGTGCTGTGGTTACTAAGTCAGTCACTGCATGTGGGAAATGCCCCTGGAGTGTAGCTGTCACAGGTCAGAGCATTCTGAGGGGAAAGCCTGGGTTTGTGTGGTTGGATCCACAATCACATCCCGGGCACATGGACCATCCTGTCAAACGCCAGACAAGTCTGGGGTGAGATCCCTGTGTTCCAGCCTTTTACAAACCCTCTGTTTGTTATGGGCATTCATCTTCAATGGCAGTAAATACAGCACTGTTGAAATGCAATTAATGACTTGCTCTTAATTACTTTTAGTGACCTGCTTCTTTCGATAGTGGATTTGATTTGCCCAGATTGTTTCTGTATTACATCAACATAGACCCCATTCCTTTAGTCTTTGAAGGTGTTTTGAGGACTTGGATTGTAGAAGCAATTTTCTGTTGTTACTTCAAGTGGCATTATATCACAAAAATTTGCATTTTGCTCAAGTGATTTCGTAAAATTGCAGTCAGGTTGTAGAGCTTATGGGCATAGGAAATAGCTGTAGTTACCACACCTACGGTGTCTTTCGCAAATATAAAGTATTCCAAAAAAGATTCATAGCCAGCACTTTCCTAAAATGGGATTAGTGGTGCCACTTCATAAAGATCCTACTTCAACAGGGTTCCAGTCAGTCATGTTGTTGGGGTGGGGGGGTTTAATCAATTAAAAGGCTAATTTCTCCTTCCTTCCCACAAAGTAAACACCTTGCATTGCTATACAGTAAACTGGGGCTTTTCCATCTGAGTGAACAGCAGATGTCAGTTCTGCAGTGTTTGGCACTGCACTATGTCATGATGTGTAAGAGTTAAAGTTTAAAAATCGTGAGTTAAAACAGCAATCCTGTTGTATCGAAACTTCCATGGTGAGGGCTGGCTTATCCCACTGGCCTTCAAAAATATGTACTGAGGCTAAGCTAAAGCAGGGACCCCCCTTTCCAGTGCCAGCCAGTGATGGTTGAGGTTCTCTTTAGCACCCTCTTTTGGTGCGTTGCATTAGTAAGCAACCACCAGCTCTGTGACAGACTAAAAGTACGTGTAGACTTGCTGAACTCTGTGTGTGGATACTGAGTACCTGCTCCAGAGCTGCACTGTTGTTAGTTCTCTGACTCTCACACTGCATCACTTTGCTGACTCAAAGACCACAGTTAATGCAGTCCCACTATTTGCCTCTCCTTTTGCTTTTGCTCACAATGTTAAAATACAGTTCTTGCTAGAGAATATTGTATTTGTATTTGTACCTGATGCTCAGTAGTGTCTGGCAACTGCTGCTCTTCTATAACCAATCTAGGAGAGAGGGTTTTCTTCCTAACTCTCTGGAGAAGGAATTTAAGACCCAGCCATGAAAATACAACATGACTGAGTAAAGTTCTTCATGTCTAAACATTTGCAGGATTGTAGCCTACTGTAATAATGGAATAGTCTGAAAACCATGTCTATAAAATCTCAATGTGGCACTGTATCAACACAGTATATGTTCTTTATACACCCTTAAGGCAGTCAAGTTTGGAGAGTTTCTTTATCTGTAGCATTTCTATACCATCTTGTGTCTGGACTCTTTTCTGCCTGCGTGTTCCCATTGGCCACATGTCTGACTGAGGCCAAAGATTGTTTTCCTGTACATTTTTGTACAGTACCTATATTCTGTTTTAAGGAAAAATATACACATACATTTTTCTTCTTTATTAATAAACAGAGTGACAATTTAAAATAAATTCTTTCAACTGTTTGGAATGGTACCCAGATGTACTGACACATTTCAGAGTGCATTAAATAGGCAGAAAAGCATTATATCACTAACAGAGGTGAGGAAGAGGAGCTGGTCTCTGACCACTGAAGCAAAACAAAGCAGTGCTAAGATGGTGGCTTTGAGGAAAATAAGCCAGACTGTTCTAATGCTTAGCTGAACTATGGAAGTAGCAACAAAAGAGAGAAAAATCTTACCAAAGGAAAATTGTGGGGCAAGCATAAAGGTGTACTGTGGAGTGAAAGAGCAATACTGAAACAGGTGAGAAAAAAACCAGAAAATCAGTTCAGGACATAAAGCAAAAAAAAAGAGAGGAAAAAAGGCTTATGAAAGCCCTAACAGTAATGTGATTGATATCTTCACAGGAGAGGATTGGGATGAGGGGGGAATAGGCATTGGTATGGAGACCTATCTGATATCCAAGCATGGGAATACCAGTTTGAAGTCTTTACCTCTCCTGGTAGATGGTGTGGGAATCTCTGATGCCTTACTGCATTTCATTGCAAGGCCAGGTATCACCTCACAGTGGGTAACCCAAACCTAACTTTTAGGATGCTTAAGTCTTCACAGGGCTTTGCTCTCAGACTTGGCAGTGAAGAGAACATTCATTTGCATTTAGATCTAACTTAGGTGCACGTGCAGGTAATTGTTATTCCTAAACAGCTGCTACGGAGAGAGAGCAGGAGAGAAGCTCCTGAGGGGTTGGTTCAGAGTATGTATGTTAGAGTGGTGAAGAGGGTCACCATTTGTAGAGTCCTTGTGCCATTGGAGTTGTTGTTTATTACAGACCTTGGGAGTTATCTCACCTTAATCCACACCGAGGGCATCTGTGGATCTCAGTCCTCGTGGCAGGGAATGTTTCACATTCCCCAGGGTTCTATTGCTGTCACCATACAGGAGAGCAGCCCTTATTTCACCATCCTGTGTGTATTTTTGTATGTAATAGTGGCTTCTACACTTGACCCTGCTTACAAAGCTGTGTAAAGGTATTACTGACACAAGTGCATTAGCAGGAATGTTGGTGTCCCTGGCTACTGAGACTGCACTGCTGAATGCTGCGTGCTAAGAGTGATTTGTACCACATGTATTGATGGCCATGGTTGGGTGATTAGTCTGAGCACAATTAATCTTTTTACTAGTAATTGGTGTAGTAATTTTAAAGGACTGAAAACAAGAATGATACTCAGGAGTAAAGGTTGAAATATTTTTTTCTGGTAACTTTTCTTTAAACTCTCTTGGCCGTGAAAGTAGAGGAGACTTTTTTACTCAAAGCTTTCAAGGTTTGCTGCAGTTAGATTGAGTAGTTTCAGAAACCTTGTCATAGTGCTTCCCTGAGGGTAAAGTCATTCCTCTACAAAGTGCCATTCATGCCCCACTTACCCTCAGTTAAGGCTTTCAAAATAACTTTGCAGTGGGACACTGGCCTTCTGCTGAAACACATTCCTCACCTGCAGGAAAGGCTGTATTTAGTATCTGTATGTCTGTTCTTTATTTTTTTCCATCATAAGGATAACATATCAAATTTATTATTTTTTCTTCTTTCTCTTTGGAAACAGAAAGAATGACTTACTGAGGAGCCAAGTTAGAAAATGACAGAAGTGAAGATTGGTCATCTCTGCAGAGGAAATGACAAGGTATGCATAGCAATCACACTGGAGATTCGTTTTTGCTGGTGCTTAGGTCTTCATGGTAGATTACTTCTGGCAATGAAGTTTAAAAATAGTCCTCAGAAACCTTGGAAAAGATGTTTTGAAGAGAACTTTTTCTTCTGTGCAATTGCCAGAGTAAGCAAAGTAAGTATTTATATCTTTATAAATATCTTTGAGATACACCTTTGAACTCATTACTATGCTGAATTGTAGCTGTGTTTCTACAGGTAAATGGGAATCACATTCATGAGTTGTTTTTTTGGCAGAGATCAGTAAAAACAACTGTTTTCCCAACTCTAAACTGAAACCCATCCAGATACTATCAATGATCATTCTTGAGACTTTAAAATACTTGTTTCATGGGCTCATTTAAATCACTGTATGCTCAGTGCAGCAGTTGTACCATTTTCTCTTCATCGTTTATCACCATTACAGGATGTGCTTAGTACCTATTTTGCACTGCATTTAAAGAATGTGTCCTTTTACATTTGTCATCCTGTAGATTTGTAACTTGAGGATGCAAAATCAGCAGTACCAACAACTCCCGCCTCTCAAATATTTTCAGTAAAGTGAATGTATAATATTTAGCCATGACTGCTAAGAGACTAGACAAGGCTATGTGCCACTTGAGTTCTGAGGTTAAATGTTACTTCAGTGATGCATAAAATTTGCATTGACCATCTCCCCAGCCTTGAATTGAACCCATTAATGAATGAACCTCACAATATCACCGTGAGCTAGGGAACTGTGATCTCAGTTTAACAAGGGGTAAAATGGAGCCCCGAGGGCTTGTGTAACCCCTGCCAGTGCTGCAGGAAGTGCAGGATGAGCCAGCAGTGCAGCCCAGCTCCCCTGGCCCGTCATCCTGCCTGCACAGCCACCCCTGCACTTGGTGTTCTTGTCCATGTGCTCTGTTATCAACAGCCACACGTTCTCTGGGCACAGTCTGAACCATCCAATTCTCCTGCAGAGTAGCTTCAAACACAGCTCCTGTGACCTGTGGCTCCTTCTCATCCATAAAGAACTGGAGACACAACACGAACAGGCCGGCACAGACAGCACCAGATGGCCCTCGGAACTGGAGCAGGTCAGCACAAGGTGACCACAGGGAGAGCTGCTGTTGTGACCTCCCTTTCCAGCTTGTTGTGTAACATTGAGAGGAAAACTGTGCAGATCTTCCTGTAGTGAGAGGAACTGCGGGTATAGGGCCATCAGTGCTTTCCCTTTTGTAATCCTGCTAAATGTCTCTTTGATTTCCTTTAGTAAATGTCAGGTCACATGTTGACTGCCTGCATTCTAAAACTGAAGTATAAATCATCTCCTCAAGTGACAGAAACTGTCATTTTTCCTTGCAAAATATTTTTCTAACTATATCTTATGTAACTGTTACAGTTGTTGACATTTTTCTAAAAAGCCCTGTTGGTTTGACACTCAGGATTCAGTATGAAGCTGTAGACTAGGATAGAGAATTCTTTTGCCTTTGCTTCTCTCTCTGTCCCATGAGCGGAAGAAAGGAATATTACACATCTCTGAGTCATGCTGTAGAAAGGTATTTTATTTTTAATATCATTTGAATTTTAAAAGAAGGAGAAGGGTAAACCTTAGCATAGGTGAAACCAAGAGTTAATATGCCTCAGTTATAGAAAGTGGCTATTAAATTTTGATGGGATGCTATGACTGATACTTCAAATAAAATGCTGGTGTAGCAATGTGGGGAGTGTCGATAATGAGCTGAATAACTAGAGAAAGGCTGTTGATTTTTATGGAAAATATATATAAAAATACATGATCCTCAACCAAAGGCATTCATGTGGATACATCTATTGGAAAAAATCAGACTATAGACTTCTTATGTCTGTCTTGGCTTGTGTCTACAAGAAAGCAGCCCCATATAGCTGTGTCTTGGCATAGATATGGGCTGAAAGCACTTGCTCACACCAGATGTTTTATTGTGCCTAGTTCCTGCCCAGCTTAAGGGTGATACTCGAGCATTAATAATCTGCTTTCCCTCTGCTTTTACATGCCTGCAGAAGACTACTGATGTGTCTTCCTAGTGGGTCTTTCTTAGAAGAAATGGTGCAGAATGTGGAATTAGTTAGTGTGAAATCCTGCTGGCAAGGCCTTTGACTTTTGGCTTCTGCTGGATCCAGCTGAGTGATGAAAGAGAGAGCTCTTGCAGGTATTTCAGCTAATCTCACCCTCATAAGAAGTAAATTGTTCTGGAAAAATGTGTGTTCGAGAAACACTTGTGTTCCTTCTGAGGGAATGCTGCAAGGGTGATCTGGAATGCCAGGACTTCGCTCTTGAGTGGGTCCATTAATCCTGCATCCAAGTCCAGTGGTTTAGTTAAATTTTAAGCAAGCTAGAGACGTTTATGGTAAATGCAGGGTATTTTCAGACACGTTTAGGAGCCTGAAGGTGTCCCTATGGACAAAACCAGGATCTGAATTGTTTGGTCAAGTATCCTGTGGCTGCCAGAGAACATTGCTGAGTCTAGAAAAGAAAGTCAGATCTTGATCTAAATATCTCTGCTTTTTGATGAGAGACTGTCTAATAACCTTCACAGCAAACAGTTGAACTCCACGCAGACACATGTCAGAAGGGATGCTTTTCTCAGCTGAAAGGAGGAGAGAAGAGTGCCCTCCTCATTGCCATAAAGGAAGACCAGATTCCCCACAGAGGTTAGAGCAGCCTACCTTGGCATCTGTGACATCTCATGATCATGAGTTTGGGCTTTGTGGAATCCCAATTTCCTTCTTGTCAAAGCCAGAAGTAGGAGGTGCCCCCAGGAAACAGATGCCCTGTGTCAGATGCCCCTGTTAAATGGTCTTAGCACTGAAGATTCTCAAAGCTGGTTCCTGAACATTACAATTTGTTCTCCTCAGCTCATGGAGGCAGGAATATAATATTTTACAGATGTGGAAGTGAAGCACAGATATGAATGCTTTAAGATGTGTAGCCTCAACAGATGGGGGTGGAAGCTGAAATGAATAATGGTGCTAATATTCCTCTAGGTTTGTATTCTAACCATGTAAATGACAGTCAGGTCACAGGTGGCATCTTGTATGTGTCCTGCAGCCTCCTGAGCTCCTCCTGCCCGGTGGCCTCGTGCAGTGACAGCCTTGCTCTCCTGTTCGCTGGGCAGAGCACCGAGGCTCCTCCACAGCACCACTGCTGTGCATGTGCAGGGGCTGAGGCTCCTCCACAGCACCACTGCTGTGCATGTGCAGGGGCTGAGGCTCCTCCACAGCACCACTGCTGTGCAT